TCATTATTGGTTTATTAATCATTTTATTTTGAATTCTTGAACTTTACTATAAAACAATAAACCAACATTTGAAAAGGCAGAATGTTTGTTTGTTTGTTTGTTTGTTGTAAACAATAGTGATGCCAGTTGGATTGGACTTGAACAGAGTTATTGATTATTAAATAATCAATCTTTACTCACTACAGACTTTTTAAAATACAAAAATGTGAAATTATTGATTTATATTATTGGTATTGGCTATGACAAGCAGGTAATAATCAGTTAATGTATCGGGGAAAACGGTTGTGTGCATCAATAATAATAATAATAATAATAATAATGCTAAATTTCCCACATGTCCTGGAAAACCTGGAAATGTAGACACTCGTTTTCCAGTCGCACACCTTCAGGAAATATACTGTGGACAAACTGAGTGTTGAACAGATGTTGAACAGATGTGGAACCGACTGCAGAGGTCCAGTTTGTCTCTGCAGAGCTGAATATATCCACACACACACGTTTACATACAACTGACACATTTTGATTCATTTTCTGTAAAATATAATAGATTCTGTTTGATTTGAAGTGAAACTGCAGCTTTTGTTTGTGAGAAACTCCTGGAAAAGGTTCTGGAAAAGGTCCTGGAAAAGGTCCTGGAAAATGATGTTAAAAAGATGTTCACCAGCTGCAGCTTTAAAGTGATGAACACATTAATGTTTACTTATGATCAGTGTATAAATATGTGGATTGTTTGTACTGAACACAACTTAATATAAATGTGTTTATAATAAAGTTTATTGTCTCTCTGTCTCTCTGTCTCTCTCTCTGTCTCTCTCTGTCTCTCTCTCTGTCTGTCTCTCTGTCTCTCTCTCTGTCTCTCTCTGTCTGTCTCTCTCTCTCTGTCTCTCTGTCTGTCTCTCTCTCTCTCTCTCTCTCTGTCTCTCTCTCTCTGTCTCTCTCTCTCTGTCTGTCTGTCTCTCTCTCTCTGTCTGTCTCTCTCTCTGTCTCCCGTCCAGACGCCACAGATCAGCTGGAGCAGAAGGTGATCGAGTTCTTCGTCAATGCGAAGAAGAACAAACCCGAGTGGAGAGAAGAACAGATGGAGGTCATTAAAAAGGTCAGAGAGTGATCCACTGTATATCCAATAATATTAATAATAACTGTTACTATATAAGATCCACTGTATATCTAATAATATTAATAATAACTGTTACTATATAAGATCCACTGTATATCTAATAATATTAATAACTGTTATTTATCACTTATATCCAAAATATTAATAATAACTGTTACTATATAAGATCCACTGTATATCCAATAATATTAATAATAACTGTTACTATATAAGATCCACTGTATATCCAATAATAATAATAACTGTTACTATATAAGATCCACTGTATATCCAATAATAATAATAACTGTTACTATATAAGATCCACTGTATATCCAATAGAAAGGCACATTACACTGATTAATAATTAATATTGTTATATAAATAGTCTTCACACAGTTTATTATTATTTCTGTTTCAGGATTATTACAAAGCTCTGGAAGATGCAGATGAGAAGGTCCAGCTGGCCAATCAGATTTATGATCTGGTGAGTTAAAGTACTTCATGATAATCAGAGTTCCCACTCAGCCTGGAAAACCTGGAAACTGATTAAAAGGATCAAATATCCTGGAAATAATCTGTGTTGTCAGCGACTGTGGGAATCTGTCTTCTTCTTCTTCTGGTTAATAAACACACAGAGTTTCTACTTCCTGTTATATTGTGATGTTCATACTCTGTTAAAGTGTGTGTCAGTTATCGGTCTCCTTGATTACTAATGGAAACACATCGGTCTCCTAATCAATAGTATCAAACAACAACAGGAAGTGATCCACTTAAAGGCTGCACTGTAATTCACTTCCTCATCCACTAGATGGCAGTCAGTCTTTATCAGTCCTTCAGGAGAGACTCAGGATCATTGATCTATCGTTTCCTGTCAGCTGCTCTGAGTCTTTGTGTGATCTGTCCTCCAGGTGGACCGGCACCTGCGGAAACTGGACCAGGAACTGGCCAAGTTTAAGATGGAGCTGGAGGCCGACAACGCCGGCATCACCGAGATCCTGGAGAGACGTGAGTCACAGACGGAGTCCTGGAAGACCGTTATTTATATTATTTAGTTCTCTTATAACTTTCTGACAAATGTTCAGGGTGTCCTGGAAAACCTCCTGGAAAACCTGGAGACTAGTTTTCATCATATAAACGGATTAAAATGATCTGCAGTTTATAAGTCCTTCCTCTCGTCCTCAGGATCTTTAGAGATGGACAGTCCGTCTCAGCCGGTCAACAACCACCACGTCCACTCTCACACCGCCACTGAGAGTAAGTATCCGCTGTTCACCAAGTAATGGAGTATTCTGTTGAGTAATGGGGTAAAGTCCTTTATTAAAGCAGCAGTAGAGCCATAGTAAATATACAGTGTACAATATCAGATAGGACCCTCCATCTGCTCTCTGCTGCCCTCTGCTGGCAGACGCAGCGCGATGTTTGTACCGTACGGTCGGTCTCTAACAGTGCTCACCGTCTTTGTGCTGTGACAGAGAGGAAGCACAGCGCTCCCACTCACCACACTACAGAACACGTTCCAGAGAAGAAGTTCAAGTCCGAAGCTCTGCTGTCCACACTCACGTCAGACGCCTCCAAGGAGAACACGCCAGGTAACACGCTCACCTGTACAACCTGTACCACCTGCAGCAGTGTGTGTGTGTTACTGTGTGTGTGTTACTGTGTGTGTTACTGTGTGTGTTAACTGTGAGAAGTGTCCTCTGCAGGTTGCCGTACCAACAGCACGTCCTCGTCCACCAACAACGTGTACAGCGTGAACTCCTCTCAGCCTCTGGCCTCCTACAACCTGAGCTCTCTGCCTGCGGGGCCCGGGGCCGGAGCCGGGGCCATCACCATGGCTGCTGCTCAGGCTGTACAGGCCACAGCGCAGGTCAGTAGGACCACACACACACTGACTGCAACCACTGGAACATCTGTCTCTGTAACGGCTCTGACTGTGTGTGTGTGTGTGTGTGTGTGTGTGTGTGTGTGTGTGTGTGTGTGTGTGTGTGTGTGTGTGTGTGTGTGTGTGTGTGTGTGTGTGTGTGTGTGTGTGTGTGTGTTCAGATGAAGGAGGGTCGGAGGACGTCCAGTCTGAAGGCGAGCTACGAGGCCATCAAGAACAACGACTTCCAGCTGGGCAGAGAGTTCGCTCTGTCCCGGGACAACACTGGATACTCCTCCTCCGCTCTGGCCTCCACCCTCACCCAGACCCTCACCCCCACCACCACCTCCGACTCCAGGGGGCGCAAGTCCAAGTAAGACACACACACACACACACACACAGTCAGCTGCAGGGTTCTGTGTCTGTGATCAATTATCTAGAACAGTATTGATCTGTTTTCCAGAAGCAGCATCAAGTCTTCCAACCATCAGTCGTCTTCATCGTCCTCCTCTTCCTCGCTGTCGTCGTGCTCGTCGTCGTCGGCGCTGGCTCAGGAGCTTTCCCAGCAGGCGTCGGCGCTGCCAGAGGCCGAGGCCAACAGCCAGGTGGACTGGACCTACGACCCCAACGAGCCCCGATACTGCATCTGTAACCAGGTGAGTTAACGAAGCAGAGGATCAATATTCAGTATTGATTACAGAGTATCGGTTGGTTCTGAATGGCGTTCTGTAATGTCTTCCAGGTTTCTTACGGAGAAATGGTCGGCTGTGATAACACAGACGTAAGTATCGTTATATCGTTCAGTTGTTGGTTGGAGCCAGATGAATTAAACTGATTAATGATTGATTAATCGCTGATCAATAAGTGTGTATAACGGCGTGTTGTTTGTCCGGCAGTGTCCCATCGAGTGGTTCCACTACGGCTGCGTCGGCCTTACGGAGGCTCCCAAGGGGAAGTGGTACTGTCCTCAGTGTACGGCCGCCATGAAGAGGAGAGGCAGCCGCCACAAATAGACCCAACGCCGCCCGCCATCTTGGATTTTTACCTCCACGCCGTCGTCCTCATAAACCACAACAACCAACACTGCCGCCGACTGAGGTCAGAGGTCACACTGAGGGTTCTGAAGACCGAGATACTGGATCACACTTCATCCTCCAAATTCTTTACTTTTCAAACATTTTGACTTCATGACGTCTGAAAATAAAACCCCCGAGGCTGAGCGGCCATTTTATTGTCCCGCAGCGCCGACAGCGACCCGGGAACCGGATCCGGATCTTCAGAGTCCGATTCACTCCGGATGTTGTTTCACTGCAGTTTACTGTGACAATAAAAACACTGTAATCCTAACCCTCACACAGCCAGAGGTCAGAGGTCAGCCTGTCGGGTTGTGTGTTTAAATATAGTCGGAGGAGGAGGAGGAGGAGGAAGAGGAAGAGGAGGAGGAGGAGGAAGAGGAGGAGGAAGAGGAGGAGGAAGAGGAGGAGGAGGAGGGGGGAGGAGGAGGAGGAGGAGGAGGACACTGCGACGTCATCAGAAAACAAGTTCAGTGATGAGATTAATGTCTGAAAGTCGACTCTTCAAAATAAAACTCACAGGATCAGAATGTGGACTGAACCAGATCAATGTTTTAATAAAAGATCAGAAAGCAGCTTGTGTTTGTTTTTATTTATATCTATATTAATATATTTATTTAATAGTCAAATATTGTTTTATTCTGATATTAATCAGATTTTGAGGTTTTATTTTTCATAATCTTTGATTTATTAGGTTTTATTGTTTAAGTAAACAACAACAATGTGAACAACAGTAACAAACTAAACATTTAAATAAATAAAAACATTTCTACAAAAAGGAGAAACTGAAGGAATTATTACTTTATTTACCCATGAGGCCTTGCTCCCCTCCCCTCACAGTTTAAACTACAAACAGGACGAGCTGTTAGACTACAACTATGGACGCCTGGTGTGTGTGTGTGTGTGTGTGCGCGCGTTTAAACAGAGACAGTCAATAAATGCAGTGTTTCAGTATCTGTTGAGTTTATTGAAGACATACACACACACACACACACATAACACACATACACAGTAACACACACACACACACACAGTAACACACACACACACACACACAGTTGAGCTGTTATTCAGTAAGAAAAGCCTTCAAACCCACTCCTCTTCATCCTCTTCATCCTCCTCCCACACATTCACACACAAACTCCATTCAGAGTCGAGTGGATCGTTCGGAGCAGACAGAAGATCACAATGTAAATGTCTGCTGCCCCTCTAATGACGCCTCCGACCCACGGGGCAGGTACCGTCACCGTGGCAACTCACGGGGCAGGTACCGTCACCGTGGCACCCACGGGGCAGGTACCGTCACCGTGGCAACCCACGGGGCAGGTACCGTCACCGTGGCAACTCACAGCTGATAATTAACAGACAGGTTTTTATTTATTCTTCAACTTTAAACTAAATGCAGATGTCATATTTAAGACCTGGAGCAACATGAGGACATTTCTTTGACTTTGTTTCCTTCAGAGTGAATTCACTTCCACACTTTATTCATTCTCATATTTAACGTTTGGATTGAGTCTGCGTCGGCCGTCCAGCAGTCAGCAGTCCTCTTCCACACATTGTTCATTGTTCCTCTCCTGCCTCCACTGAGAGAGACAGACACACTGATACTGTCTGTCTGCATCACATCGAGCTCAACAGCACATTAACACTCATAAAGATCACTTAGACAATCCCACAATGCACCACAGAGCGTCTCTGCTGCAGGCTGCTGACAGCGAGGAACACATTAGTCCCATATGTTCAAACAGCTGATCAATAATCAGAGAATCTGTCAGAAAGAAGAATATTAAGTCTGTTTGTTACAATGATAAAAATACAGAGAATGGATCAATATGTCTGATCAATATTCACAGGAAATAATCAAACTTCCTGCTGTTATTGAGTTCACTGTTTGGGTCCATTGATCAGTTGATCAGCTGTTGTTGTACATTGAATATAAAATATATAATATGTAACAGTCAGGGACAGAAAGGTTAGCATTAGTTAGCATCCACAGACGTCTCACCGTGTTTGTTTATGTTTGTTGATGAAATAAAACGTAACAATAAATGAATGTTTGCTGTAAATATTGTTTTATGTTCCCGTTCACTGTGAAACCACCGATGTTATTTTATTACTGAGCTGCTCACAAATCTTAAAACGGCCTCTTTTTAAGTGAAGTCTGGTGATTGCTGATAGTTCTCCATATGAACGAGAGCAGCTGTGTTAAATTATATTATTATATTATATTATATATCATATATTATATTATATATTATATATATAATGTGTAAGTGAGGTTTGGTGAAACTATGTGTTCCTGTGGTGACTGTTAGGAGACAAACTAACTGCTCTTCTTTAAAACCTCGTTTCCTAAAACTAATACAAAACTCCATTTGAAAATCTGTCATTTTAAAGACACTTTGTGTAACAGCTGAATAAACACGAGTGAGAGCAGTAGAGGGGTCAGGTTGGTGTTGTAGTAAATTCTTTAATCTCCAGATAAAAGATTAAAAACATTATCTATTGTTTGATTCTGTTTATTCTGAATTCATCAGAGAACCTTGAGAGTCTGATAAGATATTAAAGTTACTGTATTACTGAGGTAATGTTGCTGACAACCAAACTCATCTTAAAACGCCCTCCTTTTGAGTGAAGTCTGGTGAGTACTGTGTTCTCCATAAATGAGTGAATGCTGCTGTTAAATCAGAATGATTCTATTCAAGATGAATTCACATGTGGATCCATGAGTGAGTGAAGACTCTCCTACAAACACACACATTTTAAAGTGGAAAGATTGTGAGTGAAGTTTGGTGTGAAGTGTTACACTGAAATCAAATATTTTTCTTTAATGTCTCGTTTACTTACTTTACTTACTTAAGTTTGGTGATAACTTTTTCCCTCCACTCTCTTCTTCTGTGCTTCATTTACTGGTGGATGTCAGTAAAACTATAAACTGACGATGAAATTCCAAAACTACTAAAATTACCTTTTTTTTAAATGAAGTCTGGTGATAAACCTGTTCCTGTGTGTCAGCTAAACGTGCTCAACCAAATGTGACTGAAGTTTCATTGACTTTAACCCACAGTGTGTGTGTGTGTGTGTGTGTGTGTGTGTGTGTGTGTGTGTGTGTGTGTGTGTGTGTTTTTCCAGAAATAACTCAGCCTTCAGAGTGTTTCAGCAGGAGGGAGGAGGAGGGAGGAGGGTGAGGAGGTGCTGACCTCCTACAGAGCAGCAGTGGCTTTACAGTCCAGACTCCAGCTGAAAACAGAACTTCATCCTGTTTGTGTAGAAGAATGAAAGCAGAGAAGGAGAGTCGGAGGCTCTGACCAATGCGGCTCCTTTCTGCTTCTCCTCCTGCTGGATTTAACTCAAACCAGATGGTTTCTGTGCCAGACTCCACCGCCGCTCTGCTTCTTGGGAACTTCTCTCCGACGCCACCAAACTTCATCCGCATTTCATCAGATTTTAGGCTGAAGTCTGAGCGGAAACCCGCCGCTGTTCCCGCAGTTTAACGGACCTCTGCGGGAGTTTTCGGTTAGTTCTGACGGTCCCGTTCAGATTCCAGTTTTACTGTTCATCAGCTGACAGGACGCGGAGCGTTGCGCACTTTGGATCGACGGGAACCGGGAGGAGACGTGGATACATGGAGGAGAAGGGCTGAGGTGTCACACGGTGTTTGGAGCCACATGATCCCACCGAGGAGGAGAGAAGATGCAGTTCGGCTGCTTTGAAACGAACTTCTGCCCTTCGCGCGTCCAGGCTGCTCTGCTGCGGCTCTCCGGGTCCGTCCGCTGCGCACACAACGTCCCACTCAAGAATTAACGCATTTTTACACTAGATTCGTTATTGATGAAACTTCTTTGGACTCACAACATGAATTTATACTTTTTTAGACTCTTGTGGATCCACCAGTAAATTCGGCGTGGATATAATACATCACAAGACAAAGGACAGTAGTCTATCTCCAAACTTCATTGGAAATCCGGCTATTTTAAATTTAGTTTGGTTCTCAGCTAAAGTTCCTCGGACTTAAAACCTGAGCTGATTCTGTTTCAGACTCTTATGGATCCACTAGTAAGTTCGGCACATATATAGTCCATCAGAAGACTTTATTTCAATAAAACAGTCACATTGAACAAACAGGTCCTACAGCAGAGATGTGTTCAGGTTAAAGGGGGAAAGAAGAGAGATCGGCTGTTTTTAGATCAGTTTGGTTTCAACAGAAGTTCTTTGGACTTCCATCATGAGTTAATCCTCCTTCAGACTGATCCACTGCTGAATATTAAGATAATTAGTACCAGACATCCTGTTCCACCAACCAGCAGACATCAGTGAGGAGATGAAGATGATGAAGATGAGGAGTGAAAGTGAAACCCTCAGGAATGTGAAGTGAAGGACTGGGTCCCATCATGCGGTGCCTCCTGGCTTCAGCCGGCGGACTCCTCCTGAGGGAAGCCGGGATGCTGCTCCGCCGCCGGTCCTGCTCCGGCCCGCTGCTGCTGCTCGGGGTGGCGGTGTGTCTCTTCTACCAGACCCTGATGTTGGCCCGGAACCGGCTCCGGTCCGGACAGCAGCAACCCGCCGCAGACATCCGCAGAAAGCCGTCTGATGAAGTCCTGATGGAGGAGACCAGGAGGTTCATCTCTGCCCTGGAAACCTCACAGAGACACACACAGGTGAGCTCCACCTGTGTGTGTGTGTGTGTGTGTGTGTGTGTGTGTGTGTGTGTGTGTGTGTGTGTGAGAGAGAGTGTGTGTGAGAGAGAGAGAGAGAGAGAGAGAGAGAGAGAGAGAGTGTGTGTGTGTGTGTGTGTTTTATACATTTTAAACTGCTTCCCCACCAAACTCCATTTAAAGCTCATTGTATCAGTCTGGAGGCATCAGCTGCTGAGGAAGACCATGTGATGAGGTTGAAGCTTCAAAGTCATGAAGATGTTTCTTAAAGTGTTTATCAGACCTTCTAATAACTCTGGTTTATCACCAAACTTCATTTTAAGTTTGTTAGTCAGCAGAAGTTTTAAGTAAACGAGACATTAAAGAAGAATATTTGATTTCAGTGTAACACTTCACACCAAACTTCACTCACAATCTTTCCACTTTAAAATGTGTGTGTTTGTAGGAGAGTCTTCACTCGCTCATGGATCCACATGTGAATTCATCTTGAATAGAATCATTCTGATTTAACAGCAGCATTCACTCATTTATGGAGAACACAGTACTCACCAGACTTCACTCAAAAGGAGGGCGTTTTAAGATGAGTTTGGTTGTCAGCAACATTACCTCAGTAATACAGTAACTTTAATATCTTATCAGACTCTCGAGGTTCTCTGATGAATTCAGAATAAACAGAATCAAACAATAGATAATGTTTTTAATCTTTTATCTGGAGATTAAAGAATTTACTACAACACCAACCTGACCCCTCTACTGCTCTCACTCATGTTTATTCAGCTGTTACACAAAGTGTCTTTAAAATGACAGATTTTCAAATGGAGTTTTGTATGGGTCGTCTCCTCTAATAGAGAAAGGAAGCCAGTTGGGTCGGAGCTCCTTTTGGCTCATTGTTGAAGTATTTTTAGATTATGAGGGGATCAACGGCCGCGTACACAACGGTTTTATTTTACTACAGGGTGACTGACAGCTGCAGGGACCAATCAGATTCACAGAATCCCGTCAGTATGTGTGTTGGGTATTTTAAGTGTGTCCTGGTCCTCGGTGTCCCTGATATAAATATTAGTGTCATTAATCATCCAGGATCCAGTTCCTGACAGGTAAGTGAGTGTGAACTGACAGCTGACACACACACACACACACACACACACACACTGGCTGCAGGTTTTGTTGGTTAACCTGGTCCCGTCCTCGTGGTTTGTGTTGGCTTTATGACCCCAGTAAAACTCAGTGTCACTCTGAGGTGACGACAGCTGTTTAAAGGAGCCGGCAGACATTTTGTTCACAGTGAACACAAAGTCACATTTCATGATTTATCAGGTAAAGAATGTCCCTCTGGAGCTTCTGTAGTTGATTTAAACTGAAGCTGCACACAAACCTCCATTAAAGACCCAGACAGTAATCTCTCTGTAGTCTCTGGAAGTTATGCTACTGCAGTCACTTCCTGTTTACATAGATGGAAGCTCCTGATTGGACAGCGCTACAGAGAGACTGAGAAAATCTAAATAAAACAATTTGAGTAAAATCACTGACGTATTGTGTCCATGATCAACCTGATTCATCCTTCCAACAAACCCAATGTACTCAAAAACCTTCCGAAGCCCCGCCCCTTTTTGTTCTGTGCTCCAATCACAGTCGAAGTGTCAACTTCCTCCTTTCCTAAAATATTAGTTAGTAAAATATTAGTTAGTAAAATATTAGTTAGTAAAATATTAGTTAGTAATATATTAGTTAGTAAAATATTAGTTAGTAAAATATTAGTTAGTAAAATATTAGTTAGTAATATATTAGTTAGTAAAATATTAGTTAGTAAAATATAAGTTAGTAATATATTAGTTAGTAAAATATTAGTTAGTAATATATTAGTTAGTAAAATATTAGTTAGTAAAATATAAGTTAGTAATATATTAGTTAGTAAAATATTAGTTAGTAAATATTAGTTAGTAATAATTAGTTGTAAAATATTAGTTAGTAAAATATTAGTTAGTAATATATTAGTTAGTAAAATATTAGTTAGTAAAATATTAGTTAGTAATATATTAGTTAGTAAAATATTAGTTAGTAATATATTAGTTAGTAATATATTAGTTAGTAAAATATTAGTTAGTAATATATTAGTTAGTAAAATATTAGTTAGTAAAATATTAGTTAGTAAAATATTAGTTAGTAATATATTAGTTAGTAATATATTAGTTAGTAAAATATTAGTTAGTAATATATTAGTTAGTAAAATATTAGTTAGTAATATATTAGTTAGTAAAATATTAGTTAGTAATATATTAGTTAGTAAAATATTAGTTAGTAAAATATTAGTTAGTAATATATTAGTTAGTAAAATATTAGTTAGTAAAATATTAGTTAGTAATATATTAGTTAGTAATATATTAGTTAGTAAAATATTAGTTAGTAAAATATTAGTTAGTAATATATTAGTTAGTAAAATATTAGTTAGTAATATAATAGTTAACTAACTTTCAGATGTAACTAGGTAGCTAACAGTTAACATAGATAAGATAACTCGTTAGCGAACTTAAGATCTATATATATATATATATTTATATATATATATATATAATATATGTTTCTTTAATCTTTTAACCATCTTTAAAATGTGGTTGTCTTTTCTGACATCAGTGAGACAGGTGAGAGAGAGACAGACAGGTTCAATCCAGATGCATGCTGGGATTGTCTTTCTGCTGTTTGGAGATGCTGCTGCTGGCAGAGGTGGACTGTACCATTAAACAGGGATGGACTGTACCATTATACAGGGATGGACAGGGATGGACTGTACCACTATACAGGGATGGACTGTACCATTAAACAGGGATGGACTGTACCATTATACAGGGATGGACTGTACCACTATACAGGGATGGACTGTACCATTATACAGGGATGGACTGTACCATTATACAGGGATGGACTGTACCACTATACAGGGATGGACTGTACCATTATACAGGGAGGGTCGGGGCTCAGACAGGTCATGTGATGATGATGATGAAGATGATGATGAAGAGGACTCGGTCCATCAGTCTGAGGAATGAGACCTCGTTAGTGTTTCTGTTTGTGGACACAAAGTTCAGCTTCATGGACTCTGATAGTGAACGCAGGAGTTTGACTCTGCTATTAATTATAGATTATTAATAATTGATTAGTGACTCAAAGATAAAGTTAATTCATTAATTGGACTTTGGCTCATTTTTCTGTTTAATTACAGAGAACGTGTAAACTTCAGAATAAAAGCCCATCATTAAGATGCTGCTGACGTTCTCTTTAAATATCAGAGAATAACTGGAGTTCATCGTCGGTCTCCAGGAGAGGAAGAACAACAGTTTGCCAGCTTGTCTTCATCAGCGGACTGAATACTAACTAACAGAGTCAGACTGAAGACTGACAGAGACAGACTGAATACTAACAGAGTCAGACTGAAGACTAACAGAGTCAGACTAACAGAGTCAGACTAACAGAGTCAGACTGAAGACTAACAGAGTCAGACTGAGGGACAGACTGAAGGACAGACTGAAGAGACTGAACAGAGTGACAGACTGAATGACAGACTGAGTACAGACTGAACAGAGTGACAGACTGAAGGACAGACTAACAGAGTCAGACTGAAGACAGACTAACAGAGTAGACAGACTGAACAGAGTGACAGACTGAAGGACTAACAGAGTGACAGACTGAATGACTAGACAGAGTCAGACTGAGGGAAGACTGAAGGACAGACTGAAGACTAACAGAGTGACAGACTGAAGGACTAACAGAGTGACAGACTGAATGACTAACAGAGTGACAGACTGAAAGACTAA